GTAATGTGTCTCCCCGCCAACCCTCTCCCCTTTCTCCCCCTGGCTAAGTTTAAGATTTTTTTATTGATCCCCGTTTTTTAGCAATTTGATTCCAATATACTTTTGTATGGTTTCATATTATATTATAATCTCCATGTTTGCTCCCTTACAATATTGGAGACACCCCCTGAGTGTGATTGTCATTCCAGGGTTCATTGCGCTTTTTTGGTCTGTGGATATGTAGTGTTCATCAGATTTAGAAAACTTCAGCCATGATTTCTTCTAATGTTTTTCTCTTGTCCCTTGACTACTTAACATTGTTTCACAAATCACTGAGTTTTGGTTCATTTTCTTCAGTCTTTTTTACTCTTTATACTTCAGATTGTACAGTTTCTATTATGTTTTCACATTGACTGATAATTTTGTTTCACCAGTGATTAATCTTCTATTAAGTGTATTCAGATATTGTGTTTTTTGGTTCTTAAAAGTTCCATTTAGATGTTTTTTATGTCATCCATTTCTTGTCTCATTGTGTCCATGTTTTCCTTTAAATCCTTGAGAATAACTTATAGCAATTAAAGAGCCTTTGTTGCTAATCTTATTATTCCTGCCATTTCATCCACTGATGGATTTTTCTGAAAGTTATTTGTCACATTCCTCAGGATCATCACATGTCTAGTAATTTTTGAGTGGATTCTGGGCATGCAGTTCTAGATTTTGTTGTTTTCCTTTATAGAGAACTTCGTTGTTTCAGTGACTTGTGAATCATATTTGTTCTTCATAGGCTTGTTTTTAATCTTTGTTAGGGGTAATCTAAGATACATTTTACTCTGGGGCTAATTTAGTCCTAAAACTGAAGCATGGCTGTTTTCTGATCTCTACTAGGTGACCCAGGGAACCAATCAAGACTCTTTACTTCTTTACTCTTGCTTGTCAAATCATGAACATCCCCAGCCTTTATAAGATTAGCCATTTTATTTTTGCTTAGCTTAGTGGCCTTCCTGCTATACATTTGGCTTATTGTTCAATAACAGACTCACAGATTCATATATGCATCGTTCTCAGCAGAGCTTCCTCTTTAAAAAAAAAAAAAATTACTGATTTTTTACAGAGAGGAAGGGAGAAAGAGAGTTAGAAACATCAAGGATAGAGAGTCATCAATCAGCTGCCTCTTTACCCCCTACCGAGGATGTGCCTGCAACCAAGATACATGCCCTTGACCAGAATTGAATCTAGGACCCTTCAGTCCGTAGGCTGACGCTCTATCCACTGAGCCAAACTGGTTTCGGCGAGCTTCCTCTTTTTGATATTCCACTCTACAAATTATAGTTGCTTCAACTCTCTAAACTTTGACAGTATCTCCTCAGCTCAGAGTGTAAGTGCTTAGGTCACCCCTTTCTGCATTATGTTCTGAAAAATGCCCCCAGGAAGAAAGCTTAGTCAACTACAAGAATAGAGAGCTGATCTCTCCCTCAGCCAACAGAAAGGGGCAGAACTGTGGTCACTTCTGTAGATACATGATTAATTTGGTAAAACCCAAGTACTGTGGCATTTAGGGAAAAAGAAGTAGCTCATCTCCTTTCCCCTCTAAATCATCCCAAGAAAGGTGATGGAGAAAGGTGGTCATCTTTTGAAGGGAGCATTTGCTGGGTACAAGACCTTCACCTTTCCCCCTTTACCATTATTACCAATCAATGGCAGGCCCAACTGTAACCTACGAATGGGAACATAACAATGCGAAGCTTCATACAGCTCTTGTAACAATTATAACTGAACAGAGAATAAATACATATGATTAGCCCCTGGGCATGAGGGGCACTGTTTAAAGGCAGGGCTTTCAAGTCAAGGGTGTGTCTTTCACGCTTACAGGATGCAGACACTCTACATGTTTCTGTGGCACCCTGTGATAGCTGTCTGAGATCTCAACACTTCCAAAGTCATCCCAATGAACTGAGCATTAATACCCGAGAGCAGTTCTCACCATGCAACATTCCAAAATCAACAATGTCTGGAACACTCTAGAATCTCACCTTGGAACATTCTAGCATCACCAGCACACGCCTCTGGCCCACACCAATGAAGTCAGACTGGCAGTGATGCTTGGCTATCAATACTTTTAGTAAAGACCTCAGGTGATTCTGAGGGATAACTAGTTCAAGGACCATGCTCTTCTTATTCTCTTAGTCTACAGGAAACTGGAGAGCAGAGGAGAATATACAGAGTTTGAATGGTTTTCTTGACCTTCTGCTTGGGCTCCTTTTACCTCCTTTAACATTTTTTTTTTGCCCTGTTTAAATCTACCCACCCTACTGTGTCTGCATCACATTTCTTTCCTTGAGAATAATCCATCAATTCTGAAAATGAAATACTCAAATGGGACACGCTCTACAGTCTAGGACGTTCCAGTGACTTAATTATCTAATTACTGAAGCTGGCAACCAAGCACAAAAGATTTCATTCAATTTCACTATTTTATAACACAGTTCAGAGAACATTTGAAGTTCTAATTCAATTTTTGTTCTTTTGAGACTATTCTAGAGTTTCGCATGTCTATAATGATAGCTCCATTATTGGACTTGTGATCACTTCGGGATTGTACTTTATTTTTGGAGTACAGAATACATATGCTGACGGAGAAACTGGCGCTGAGATGGCTTAATTCTTCTGAACTCTTTTTGTCTTACGTAGACTCCCCTGACTGAAGAGACAGAGGCTGGACAGGAAGGAAAGCTGATGGAGACACGGAGGATACAAAGACTGAGGTAGAAGTGGTAGCAGCCAGGCTAAGAGCAAAGTGCTTCTCTTTCCTCAGGTGTCTGCTCTTCAGAACTGCAAACACTTCTAAGCTCAAGAACATGTCTGCTCACTGTTCTTTACACTCCAAAGCCAGGAAAGCTGAGCAGTTCTGGGCAATAAAGGAACTTGTGTGGTTAAGACAGCATTCCCAGACCTTGACTAGAGAGCTGCTTTGTTTGAGAAGCTATGATTCTGCAACGGAGCCTCCACAGTTCAAGGGTTGAAAGGAGTGGCAAGCTGTGGGAGGCTCCTTCCAGAGGACCAAACAATCCCAGCCACCAACGGGGTGATGTCACAGCCACAGGCATCACAATCTTGGTGTCAAATTTGCCACACTTCAGCGATGTTTCAGAAATTCCACCCCTGCCCTCAAACCAACAAACATTCACTTTTGAAAGCACTGCCATACAAACAATACATTTAGGGATTTTTTTTTTTTTTTTTTTTTCTCTTTTGAGTATCCACTGGGGAAAGACAATTTCCAAATGGCCAGCAGGTGGCGCTACAAGGGAGGAACAGTGTGAGAAGGGGCTTGACCTCCACAGACCACAAGTTCTAGTAAGAACCTGGGGGAGGACACGCCCTCTCTGTCCTGCACAAGCATTGTTTGGCTTGCAGAGTGCCATTGGCTTTTCATTATTTTCCAACGTTCTAAAAATGAATACAGATATTTTACTTTAAAGACCCCGCATTACCTGATTCTCTTGGATTGCTGAAATGTCCAGGAACACTTACTGTAATACTTCCAGGTTAAGAGCTGGCTGGAACGGAGTGGTAACTGTCCTTTAGAGGGGCCTCTTTGCCATTGTCCCTCCTCCACTTCAACTTGTCGAGTTGCTCTCGACACTGTGGCCACTGGACTTTGTCACCTGACACACACCCTCCGCCCAACCCACACGCTCATTTCATCTCAGAGTGTCTTTAAAACTGCAACGCAAGGAGAAGCTAACGCAAAGGATGGGGAACGTCACAGATGACATGATTCATAAAAGCATTTAAGTGAATTTGCATGGGACATCCCAGGTGTCTGGGACATTGCCCGAGAGGCGGAGTCTCCTTGGAGGCCTGAGCACTGAGTCAGTCCATGACGGGGCCCCTCAAACCAGCTGCCTTTCTGTTTATCCTCTGGCAGGTAGAATAAGGGTAAAGTATCTTCTTGCCTTAAGGAGGTGGTGAAAAATGTAGGGCTCATGCCTCTGAAGCAAGAAAGGGCCTTCGTTTGAAGCCCTTCCTTGTCAGACCTCCCTGGTTGAGAAGGCTACACCCCACTGGCTACTGTGGATGCCACACCTGTGTGGCTGGGCCAGGCTCCTAGGCGGGCCTGTCTTTTACCAGCGTTTGAACTATGAACTCCTCGAAGTCAAGGAGGCAGCCTGGGGGTGGTGTGAGCCAGCTTTCCACCCTCCATGATCAACCTCTTGCCACAGGCAGGCGAGGCGGCGTGAGGTGGACACATAAAGCATCTCATGACGAGCGGCACCGCCCAGCTCCTTAGTACCCACAACCAGGAGATGCATTGCTCAGCTTCGTAGGATGCATGCGATTGGCTCACCGAGATTCATGCCACGGAGGGTCATTTCCCTCCTGCTTTGGTTCCCATAGAGTGCACACATTCCTTAACAATGGGAAAAGGTAAGGAAAATATTATGGGACACACTATCCAGATAGAATGCAGATGTTTTTCTCCACAAATCATCCATGATGGCTTCTTTTCCTTATGAATCAGTCATCTAGTTTAATCTCCTATTTCTAAATACCTCATAGGTTTTTGTAAAAAAAAACCCAAAAAAACACGCACAAAAAACACACACAAATAAACCAAAACCAAAATAAAACAAACAAAAAACAAACTCACTGACTGTCTCACCACTCGGCCTGCTCACTGGGGGGAAGCAAGGAGCCGAACACTAAACAGGAAGTCGGCGCTGGCTGGTATTATGCTCCGCGGGGCTCCTGTGCTCTGTGCTCCCAGCTCTCCTCAGAAAAACAGATGCTTAATGGGCTTTTCATGCATAAAGGCACGCGGAGCTTAAAGAAGTGGCTACACATTGACTACGGTTGCAGGGAAGGTCTGGACCAGGATGAAGTGTGTGAGGGAGGAAACCGTGGTTTGCCCTGAGGAGAGGCTGGTGGAAAGCACTGTGGGGCCAGGGGTGTGGGAGGAGGGGGAAGCTGACTTTGGGCAAATAAGAAGGAAGACATTATCCACGAGGAATAGTCTGTACCTGGAGCTGTCGCATCTGCTGCAGCTGAAGCCGGAGCTCGGCCACATTCCGCTTCATGTCGAGCAGGCTCAGGTGCAAGGCCGAGGTGCCAGCGGCCAGAGGCTGGCTGGGTGGCCCCAGGGACTCCAGGGCACCGAGTGTCTTCCCGCCAGAAACATGGGGAGTTCCTATGGGAAAAGAGCAGCAGACAGAAACGTCAAAGTTAAGCCCTACTCCATCATAGACAGCTTGACTCTAAAAATGCCCATTTCCTTCACTGTGGCAAAATTTTTTTTTTAATTATGCTGGTCCTCTATATGACAAAAAAAAGGGAATAAAATTTAAATAAAGTATGGAAACCTAATGCAACACTGCAGCATGCACTCTATAACAATCATGTGCTAGAAGCTTAATGCCAAAGGGAGGCAGATCAATGCAGTATCTAAAGCAGGAGGCCATGAAGGAAGCTGTCTGTCTGTCCACCTAGCTTCCGTTGATGTATACAGGAGTGCAGAGGAAAGATCGGATGTACCTGGAACAAAGATTTAACTGTATGTCTGGCTGCTGGTATTCCATGAGGTTTATATTACTTTTATAGTGAATCTCTGTAATTTTATAACCAAAAAATTATTTTACAACTTTGGGACCTAACACAGGTTCTCCGTGACTATTTTCTGCAGGCAGATGTACCCCTTAGTTCCGAGCAGAGATCGGGCCCATCACGAAGGGAAGACGAATAAGAGCTGAGTTTCTTCTGAATCTTCCAGCTTTCCACACCAAAAGCAGCAGGACCTCGCCCCAGCCCCGATGGCGAGAAAAGCAGGCGCAACGTGAGAATTCTCTAGGGGAGGAACCCAGGCAGCAGGACAAACGCTTCCTAAAGTTTCCAGCTGCCATAAACGTTGGCTCCTAGAGTCCAACTTAAATATGCCTCCTCTACTTTATAAGTTCATCTGGGAAAAGCCTGATTTGACAAAGTTTGTTTTAAAAGGCCTCAGGAAGGATCCCAAGTTGTACTTACAGGATGATCAAGATACAGGAATAAAAAGAGAGTGCTATTCATATATATATGTATATATATATATATATATATATATATATATATATATATATATATTCATACACACACACACACACACACACACACACACACACACACACACATATATATATAAAACACGAATGCAGTTCTCTGAAATAGGCCACCGGAGTAAAATCCGCACCTCACCCACACCCACACCCACACCCACACCCACACTCACTTCTGAAGGAGCTGGAAACCCTTTCCTGTAAAGGATAAAGTGGAGGGTGTGCCATGGGCCTGGCTGGGCTGCCACCACAGGACCTTCATGTTGCTCTCTTGTCCTAGCGCATAACTTCACTAAATGGAGAAAATACTTGGTCTTCAACACACACACACACCCCTTACATAGAAATGATTAGTTTCATTCCTTGATCTGACCAAAAGTTTTATCTTAAATCCAGTCAGTGAGAGAACTGTGACTCTGCTTCTCCTTGCCTCCAGTCCAGGCTCCCTCTCAGACTCAACAGTGACTAAGGCAGACCACCTTAATAAAAGCAGGACCGACACTTTTTATTTACAAAGACAAAAAATTAGAAACATCTGCCTTTTCCAGATCCTCCCTCCCTCCCTCCCTCCCTCCCTCCCTCCCTCTCTCTCTCTCTCTCTCTCTCTCTCTCTCTCTCTCAATATATTTTATTGATTTTTCACAGAGAGGAAGAAAGAGAGATAGAGAATTAGAAACATCGATGAGAGAGAATCATCGATCAGCTGCCTCTTGCACATCCCCCACTGGGGATGTGCCCACAACCAAGTTATATGCCCCCGACCGGAATCGAACCCAGGACCTTTCAGTCTGCAGGCCGACGCTCTATTCACTGAGCCAAACCAGTTTCGGCCAGATCCTATCTCTTGATCTGAAAACATTACAAGTGGATATTTTCTTCAGATACTCAAAGACTGAGTCATAAAGTCTAAGGAAAATGCTGACTCATATAAGACTAAGCTGAAGGCTATAGGGAAGAGGAATAAATGGTGAAAGGTTTCCTTAAGAGAACATCCAGTAACTTTTCCAATAATAGCAGCATGACAGAATTAATAGCATGTCTGAAGAATTCAGCATGTCTGAAGAATTCTGTGATTCCCTCAGAATACTTCAAGATCAAATATTCTGAGGGAATCACAATAATTAGGAAGTTTTCCTTTCTCCCTCCTTCTCTTTACATTCTGAGGGCACCGGGGCACCTCACCAACCTCCTTCATGGAGGAGAAGCCAGAATCTGTTAGAATTGAACGCTGATAACTGTTCAAAAATACCTTTCACAACAAAATTTCTTTGTGGAATCTATACTCATTTCAAAAATTGCTTCATCTATAACTTCTTACTCCACTAAATTCGGTTTCTAACTCTATCACTCACAAAAATGGCTCTTTATAAGGTGGGCAATGGTCGGCTGTTCACCCAGTAGACATCTCGTTGGTGTGACGCTGGGCTCTGTTAGCCACTTCTTTCCTTTTCAGTCAATTTGAATTCTCCTATCCCTTGTCTTCTTCCCTCTCCACTACTCCATCTTGGTCAATCTCCTTTCTAATGTCTTCCTTGGCCAACTTTAAAAAGCCTGGCCTGTTCTGTCCTCGGCCTGTTTCTTCTCTCACTAGATGAGCTTCCCAGGGAGGTCCCTTCCTCCGCCACCACCTGCCAAGGTCCCTCACCTCTTTGTCTCCAGCAAAAAGTCTCTTCAGATCCGCGTAACAGTCCCTTCGTGTTGCTCCCAGACTTTTCATCTTCTCAGACCTCTTTTTGTCTCAGTAGGTCTGACCTTAACCAGTGGCACTATTATACACTCAGTTACTTAAATCAGAAACCTGGAAGTCGTCCTCCGTATCCACTTCCTAGTTGTGTGTCCTTGGCAGAGTAACTCAACCTCTCTCGCTCTGTTTCCTCATCTGGAAAATGTGTGTAAGGGTTATTGTGTGAGATAAGGGAATTAACACATGTAAACTGCTTAGCCTGGTGTCTGGCACAGAGGGATGCCCCACCGCAATCAGCTGTGATCGTGTCTCTGAGCAGAGTGGGCTGGAAAAGCCTCTGCTAGCCTCCCCTCTGCCCCTGGAGGTGCCCAGGGCCAAAGGCTGGGGGTGACAGCAGTAGGCTGAGAGCTATAGGCAGGTGCCCTGAAATCCATGCATGGAGCTGGATTTGGCAGGTAGGGACCCAATTCCCCTTCAGATTGGTTCACAGGACCTGGGATCTGCTCTCCACATCCACACGCAGGTGGTCACATTCTGCTTCCAACATGCACACATGCAAAAGGAGAGTCATCGTGCAGCTTGTTCCTCAGAAACACACTCCTTTCTGTGCACATCACCCTTTCCAAGCAATGGCCTCACTTCCTTCTACCCAGTCAATGCAATGTTAGGTAATACCCTTCAGTGGAGTGCATATCACTATGAAATTTACTGTATGCAAATTTTATGCAAATTTAATGTGCCTTGTTGTGATAAAAAGAACCTGGGTTTGAGGGTTGGCCAGACTGGCTCTGATTCTTACTAACTGCGTGGCTAACATCTTTCTTACAGGGTTTTGTGTTAAATTATGTAATACTCTGTGTATAATACGAAGTATGCCTTTGAAATGGGAGGTTCCTTCTGTTCTTATACCATAGAACCACATATTCCTAAAAGTAACAGGAAGTCTGGGATTTCCTTTTCCTTTACACTTGGACAAATGAGCTCCTTAATATGTATATAATTCTATGTACTTGTCTACAAAACAGGCATAATTCTTCTCTTACAGCTTACTTCCTTGGGTTCTGGCAGAATTAATATATTTTGTGCACTGTACAGGCTGCTATGGCAACGGAAGCCCGGTGGACCACATCTAGCCCTGACACACTAGAATGAGAAAGACCAAACTCAGCAGAGACGCAGGGGAGCAAACACACATGCTTGTTGCTGGTGGCATTGCAAATTGGCTCAGCTTCTCAGAAGAGAAACTGGCAGCAGTTGCCAGAGAAACTCAATTGTTCGTCCCTCTGGACTTATGGATTCCACTTTGGGAAATACATCCCAAGGACATTACACCTGCTCCTTCCCCCTTGCTCCAAAAAAGACATTTACAACATTATTCAAAACAAAGAAATGAAAAACCCATACATCCTTAAAGGGCCTGGGGCACCTTCACACAAAAATATGAGAAGAAAATGACAGGGGGTGGCCCATGTGGATGTGTTACCTATGTGAGAGTGTGCAGACTTCTTCCCTGGAAGATGGGGATAATGGGGCTGTGCAGGAGTTAATGGGTTCTGGTGTGAAGAGCACCTAGAACAGTGCCTGGCACACCGGAAACACTCACTAAACGTCACTCATTATAATGGTGACGATGATGTCACCCGAAGTGAAAGGAATAAAAGCAGAGTACAAAGCAGCACGTACATGTTGGTTAGAACAATGATATCAGATACTAGTAATCATTTCTGGGCTAGAGCCCAGAGGGATGGAATGATTTAGTGTTATGTAGTTTCTTTTTGTCCCTCCCACTTTGAGATACAATTGACCTACACCAGTGTTCGGCAAACTCATTGGTCAATAGAGCCAAATATCGACAGTACAATGACTGAAATTTCTTTTGAGAGCCAAATTTTTAAAACTTAAACTTCTTCTAACGCCACTTCTTCAAAATAGACTCGCCTAGGCCGTGGTATTTTGTGGAAGAGCCACACTCAAGGGGCCAAAGAGCAGAATGTGGCTCGCAAGCCACAGTTTGCCGACCACGGACCTAGACCATGGTGGAATTTGAAAGTGCAGAGCATGTTGCTTTGATACACTTACATACTGCCATATGATCACTACTGTGGTGTTAGCTAAAACACCCATCATGTCACTAATTGCCATTTTCTTTTTGTGGTATGAACATTTAAGATATACTCTCTTGGCAACTTTCAAGTATATAGTTCAGTACTTTTTTCTTTATTTAATTTATTGAGGTGACATTGGTTAATAAGATTATATAGGTTTCAGGTGTACATTTCTATAATACATCACCTGTATGTTTGTCATCCCAAGTCTCCTTCCATCATGTATTCCCCTTATACCTTATTCTCCTTTTTCCACAATGCCTTTTCCCCTGTGTTTATGAGTTGTTATTTTTTCTGCTTAATCCCTTCAAGGTTTTTCACCCAGCACCACACCCACCCTCCATAGCTATCACTCTGTACCTAAGAGTCTGTTTTGCATGTTAGTTTATCTTGTTCATTAGATTCCACATGTAAGTGAAATCATGTGGCACTTGTCCTTCTCTGATGCATTATTATCTATAATCACCATGCTGTGCATTAATTCCACAGAACTTGCTCATCTTCCAACTGAAAGTTTACTCTTTCTGACCAACACCTCCCCATTTCCCCATTTCCCAGTAACCACCATTCCACTCTCTCTTTCTATGAGTGCCATAGGTTCCTTTTCCCCTTGAGTTCATAATAGATAAAAAAAGAAATGAGAGAACAAGCATCTCCAAAACAAACTGGCACTTGCTTTAAGCCAAGTTTAGTGATCTCTGTGAAATAATTCTCTGGATGCACAGCCATTAATTAACTTCTAAGTAAACCGGCAGGCCCCAGAGGCCCAGGAGGGCTAGAGGACCAGGCCTGCTGGCCGTGCAGCCGAACTGCCCGCACTTAGCTGGTGCAGCCCAAGACTAACAGAGGCCCTGCTGAAGGCCCAGATTCCGTCCGTTCCACCACGCTGCACAACACTCTGTGGCTTCCCCAAATTAGAGGTTTCACCCTACTTGCCACATGCTTCCTGTGTAATTCAGTGGCTGAACACGTCCTCTGGTAATGATTCTATTTCTAACCCAGTGGGAAGGTCGACCTTATATTCTTGACAGAGGTCTGCCTTGAGCCTGCAGGATAAGATGTACATCAAATATACCGGGATTCTAGGGAATTCTAAGTGGAATTTAATTGGGGCCATTTGCCGGTGCGGGGGAGGTGGGGCAATATTGGCATTTAAAAAGCAGGCCTTGGTCCAAGGATTCCTTCCTCTCTCGCCTCAATCACTAGTGGCCCCTGTCAGCATTCACCCCTTTTCACCCATTACTATGCTGCGTCTGGGCTGAGGTCCTTCCCTAATGCACAGCCTTCCAATGGCTTTACTTGGCACTTAGATTACCATCTCAATTCCTGACCATGGCATCTGCATGTGTTTCTCCCTCATCCTGGATGGCTCTTCCCTTCCCCCTTCACTACCTAAGTCCTGTTCGTCTGTCAGGTCTCATATGTGTCACTTCCTCAGGGAAATGTCCTTGGTCTAGGCTAGAACTGCCAGTTAAACATTCATCCTTCACTTTTGCATAACACTCAATGCTCAAATAATTATCTGTCCCATATCCATTTTCTCCACGGGATTCGGAATTCTAGGCAAGCAGCTGTGTCTGGATCATTCCCCCTGTCCTTACTTGGTAGTAGGCACAATAAATATTTGTTGGATGTTTGGTCATATAAATGAATAAATGAGTGAATAGTGAATGAATGAATAAAGACTGAAGGGAAGAAGACCAAGGGCTTAGTCTGTCCCAAATTAATGATGAATCTGGAATTTTAGCATTAAGCAGAGAAGGTGAGATGGCGTGGACATTAGCCAGAAAGTCTCTGAAGTCACATCACATCAATGACTTCGGGAAGGTCACGAACTTCTGCGCCAAGCAGAGTGCACCTACGGCAGCTCCGAGGACACTCACCTGCACTATCTGTGAGGGTCTTAGTAGCTGATGTTTTCATCATCTTCTCGCTGAATAAAAGAAAAAGAGAGTCAGCTACACAGTTTCCAAAATGCCTTTTTTTTTCTTTTTGCCCCCTCCATTCATTATTCTAAGCAATGAGCAGCAGGTAGTGATGGTATCAAGCAATGAGGGGACTTTAGCATCAGCACCACTATTGGCCGGATGGAAAAGGCTTCCCAGGTGTGCACTGACACTGAGGGCGGAGTACAGCGGGTGGGCACTCATGACTTTGAGAGGATGGCGGAGGTGGGGACGTGTGGGTGGTGGTTGCAGGCACTGCACAGTGGTCCATGAAGCCACATGCACTGGGAAGCCCATTTACCCTTCTTGGGCCAAAGTGTTACCTTCGACCAAGAATTACCAGATGGAAAACAAACAAACAAACAAACAAACAAACCATGATTCAGAGAGATGTGACTATTTTCAGCCTTGAAATGATTACAAGAAAACGGATTTGAATGAGTGAATTATCTTAATGATTAAAGAGAAACAGATTGAATTATTTAATTGGTTTGTTTCTTCTTTTTTACCTAGATGCATCTTTGCTATTACTTGTAAGGGGCCCTTTAAAAAGCGCAGACTGAACAAGGCCAGTTAAACTGGCAATCTGTCTCTCCATGGCTTGCATCCTCTCTCTGTAAAACAAGAGAATTGTTTGTTAAAAGCTTTATTGACTTTCAGACTGGTTCGTCTGGTGAATGATCACTCAGGGTCATAAAAGGTACCACCCAGTAGGCCAGCTAAGTGCACCTGCCTGGCTCGGAGAATGTGAAGGGCCTGCAAATCTCTGCTGAGCTTGAGTCGTGATGGGAGTTTAATACTAACCTCAGGACCTCACTGAAAAGATGCTGTGCAGACCTGCAGAGGCCTCCTGCAAAACTGGAAAGTGTCTCCCTCAGAAGTAACTCTGCTTGCGTGTAGTGTTTCTGAACCTTTCTGCCCTGCTTCTGCCATTTTACTGCTGGTACCAGTAGTGTCCTACCTCAGCTGTGCCCAGTGGCTCAGGCCTCTAAGCTCTGCTCCTCAGCTGTGGACTGATGACCAGTTTTGGCGTCAGTGATGGGGATGTGTGTTGTGTGTGAGGTAAAACTTGTTTTATCACCTGAGAGCACCAACAATGAATGCCTCTTTAAAACCATGGAACTATGTGGCTGAAATCAATGTTTGACTCTGGGGTGAATGGTGCTCAATCTAATGAAACAGGAACTTTAACCTGTGTTAAAGGGCTTCTCCAGGATCAAGCAGAAAAACAAATATCCCTAACATGAATGAGTAACCCCCATTGTTTAATGTGCACAGATGCCGCACCTGCACAGGGCTCTCTAAGGGTTCATCACAATTCATTTGGCTCAAATGTTTGTACCTCAGACAATGTCAGTTTCACAGAGCTATTACCTTTATTTTCAGCACATTAAACAAACAACATCACCAGTGTCCTCCCTCTGCTGGCTACGTGCAGAGGGCATCACATGACTGCAGGCAAATTCAGTGACATTTACTTGGGAGTTTAAAACATGAAGACAGGCAGCTTGAATAGTGGGGGCGCCTTGCCCGCCATCGTGCCCCATGCACAGGTGCCCTAGTGTGAGCTTGAGCCAGAGAAGGGACCCCACTCTTCACCATGGTGTAGGTGTCGCCCTCTCCATGCTTCCTGTGCTCCAAACTGCATATTCACACAGTGAGGCTTTTACACCAAAGCCAACTATTTTATCAGGTACCCAATGGAAATTATGGTGTTCTGTTCTTGCCCTGGAAAACAATAACTGGTTACGTTGGACTTATTGAGAGATGCTATATCTAAATCTTAAGCTTCATGACAATCAAGCAGACTTTTAAGGGTAATTTGGTCCATATACAACTTTTTGGCCTTGGATTTTGCTTTGGGAATATAACCCTTATGAAACACCGAGTTTAATTTCACAATTACAAGCTTCTGACTTCTAATTCCATGCTTTTTTTTTTTGTTTGTTTGTTTAAAATGAATGGTCTGTCACAATACTGAGTTTATTGGGCGAAAGTCACGCAGTCTAGGCAGTTCATGGTTGTAAACCCACTAAGGGAAAAGAAATGATTTAAGCATGAATAGAATGATCTCTTTGCTCTAGTCATGTGGGAAGGAGAAATCTCGAGCAGTGCAAGTGGGAATACATCTCCATCTCAATTCAGCGAGTTTCCAGGTGTTTCCAGGTATGGCAGTGAATGCTAAACTCCTGAGCTGCAAAGCATTTACAGTCACACCTGTGCTTCTGGTCTCCTCTCTGTCATAACACATGCATGTGCCAAAGAGGAAATGTAGGAAGAAACTACACTCAAGAAAGCAGGTTAGTAAATACCTAATGGATATCGTATGTTCATCAGACGCAGGTTGCTATGGTATGTCAGAAATGACTGGCTAGCGGCTGATCATGCTGCCTGCCTGTGGGAAACACAGACTCACACAAATGGGCTCCGAGGAAATGAGTGGCTTCCACCAGGACCAGCTGAGTAGCGGGTGAAAGTGGTCCAGGGCCCCCGTTCTTCCCACGGTAATGCTGGAAGTCAAACTCATGGCCCTCAGAGTCCAGGTACATTTAGAACCACCTCAAGATGTACTACTTTCCTGCTCTTACCCAATCCTAGGCAAATACAAAGCATTGCTTTCTTTTTCTTTTTAAAAGCAGCATGGCATTTTTATTTTATTTTTTTAAAATATATTTTACTAATTTCTTACAGAGAGAAAGGAAGAGGGATAAAGTTAGAAACATTGATGAGAGAGGAACATCGATCAGCTGCCTCCTGTACACCTCCTACTGGGGATGTGCCCGCACACAACCACCGTACATGCCCTTGACCAGAATTAAACCTAGGACCATTGAGTCCACAGGCCGACGCTCTATCCATTGAGCCAAACCGGTTTCAGTAGCAGCATGACATTTTTAGGGTCTAGACAACTTTGGTGAGGGTGGCTTGAAGGGTTCCATGAAGCTGGAGCGTGGGACAGAAAGGCATGGTCACAGCATAACTACAGATAGAGGACAGTACTACTAAAAACTGTAATAAGCAGGTAGGTCTATGACTGTAGAGAATAAGTGAGGATCTGATAAGAGGGAAATGGCAGAAGAAGGGATTCAACATGGCTCTAGGCACAGCCCTGATTAGGGCTAAATCACTGTTCTTTCTGAACCCTCATTGGCCACCAGGTTTCATGACCTTGTCTAAGAAAGGTCAGCGAAACATTAAAAACCAAAACAGTCGTGACCAGTTTAGCTCAGTGGCTAGAGCGTCAGCCTGTGGACTGAAGGGTCCCAGGCTCAATTCCGGTCAAGGAGATGTACCTTGGTTGCAGGCACATCCCCAGTAGGGAGTGTGCAGGAGGCAGCTGATAGATGTTTCCCTCTTATTGATGTTTCTAACTATCCCTCTTCCTCTTCTCTGTAAACAGTCAATAAAATATATTTTTTAAAAACACCAAAACACACACACACACACACACACACACACACACACACACACACCCCAAAACAAAGCACCTGGATCTTTCCAGACTCAGGGCATTGATCTGCAACTAATCCATCACAGCGGTTGGAACCGCACAATGCTACAGCACAAGCTGGGTCATTTCCACATGAGTGTCCATAGGGTGGCATTTCCTCAGCTCAGTGAGTACTTGGCTTTTTGCTGTGCGTCCTCAGAAAACGGTTTTAGGGTGCAGAGAAAGACAACCCACAAATCTACACTCCTCTTCTTATTCCCCAGGGATCATGTCCACATAGTTACAGAGCTTCCTGGGGTCAGAGTCTAGATGCTTTGAAGGAAAGGCCCTACATTCAGGCCAGGTATCACACCCTTGGTTCTCCTTTTTGTATCTGTGAGGACCTCCGGGCTATGTCACTGGCTGGGCCCCAGAAGGAAGATAGGGTCTTTCAGGGCCTCCCGAGTTTAAAACACTTGAGCTGACACCTGAGGGAGCAATTCTCTCCCATTGACCAGGAAAAGCGGGTCCTGCACATGGCTGAGGCGCTGAATGCACATGCACTGTCTTGGCCAAAACCACGTTATAAAAGTACAATTTTTCAGCACATGGAAATAAGAAAACTTTCCCTTTCCTATTTAATCATCAAAGTGTTTCTGGTTTCAGGATTCATTTGAGGGAGATTATCTGATTTATAAATTCATAAATAAGATTGTCTTTCCATTTCATGGTTGGTAATCAGGAAACAATTTTATGGTTTAACTCAATTACAGCAACTGGAAACTTAGGCAGCCTTTGCCCATGATGAAATGTTATGAAGTACGTTTTAATGTGAAACAAGGAAAAAAAAAAGTGAAGTGCAGTGGAAGAAGAGAAATTATATATGGCCCTCTCATTTTATTGCAGTGACAATTTTGTATAATAATCATCAAAATATTAAAGATGCTTAAGCTAATTCTTGCCAATATCACTTGGTTTAAGGTATTATAGGTTTGGTATAATTACTGTTGAAAGGATGGTTTAAAAGTGATTTCATAAACCATTTTCTATCATTCCATAAACCATATTTATGGGATTAGTATATATGGCTAACTAGTCATTTAACACAGTAAGTCAGCCTGGGTGAATGAATCTTTTCAGGGCCCAAGCATAATATTTATAAAAAACTCAAGTCCAAGTCCAGGGAAAGTGCTGATCCCAGGATTGAAATTCCTGCTTCGAAAATGGGCTTTCCTGCAAGCACCAATCTGTCTGTGAAGACAGCAAAGCCTAGAATGCTCACAGTCTGCTCTCTGTCTTCAGAGTAGAGGGACGGAAAAATGTGCATTTGAGGGAATATTTTTAGCCAGTAACTCCATTTATACAATGTTTTTGGTCCAAGTTTTCACCTCTAACATTTTTGATCAGGGACTTGCCTTTGTCCTGAGGCCTCATTAAGCCTGAGTTAAATCTTTATCATTGCCTATCTAAGTAAATGAATGGCTATTAAAAAAAACAAGTCAAGGCTGTAACAAGTCTGAGACTGGTAATTCCCCTGTAATGAAGTCCTTAGGCTAT